GCTTCCTATTACCTCTAGAATCTAGTACAAACCCCTTTTGTCTGGCATTTAAAGCCCCATCTCCAACCTACCTTTCTCAGCTTATTATACAAAGTGTTCCAAAAGTCTTAGTGCCATTCAAGGTTCTGATAGCACAGAACTAAGACTTTTGGGACACCCCGCCTCAGAGGCCCCCCAACCCCATTCTCTAGTGTCTGTCTTCCTTCTCTCTCCCTTTTCACAGGTGGTCCTGCCATGCCTGGAAGGCATTCTATTCCCACCTCCAAGTCCCAGAGTTCCTCACTTCTTTCAAAACTAAAAAAGACTCAACAACAGCTATGGTGACCCTAGCCAAGTTACTTCGCCTTTCTTGCCTCAGTTTCCCTTTCTGTAAAATAAGACTAATTAGACTTGCAACTCTGTGCTTCCCAGGGTGGCTGTGAAGTGAAATGTGCTTCACAATCTTTAAAGCATGATAGGAGGAGGAGTTATGAATGAGAATCTGCATTTATAGAATCAGATTTGCGAGAACATTACATGATTTCCCAGCTGGTCCTCACACTGACCCTGAGAGGCAGGTGCTTTTGGTATTCCCATTTTATAGATGAGGAAACTGAGGCAGACAGAGTTTGAAACTTGCCCAGGGGGTCACTGGGTTAATAAATGTTGAAGGTAGGATTTGAATTTAGGTCCTTCTGACTTCATGTCCAGGACTCTATCTACTGAGCCACCTAGCTATTACAGGATAGAGTGCTGGACTTGGAATGGGAAGACCTGAGTTCAAATCCTGCCTCAGACATTTAACTTGGCTGTGTGACCCTGGACAAACTAATTAATCCCTCTGAGTCTTAGTTTTCACAACTGGAAAATGGCAACAATAATAATAAATGATAACAGTAATAATAATAATAATAATAATAATAATAATAATATCTACCTCCTGGGGTTGCAAGGAAGATGATATGAGGTAACATGTGTAAAGCACTTCAATCCTTAAAGAGATATATAGATGCTAGTTTTTCTTATTATTATTGTTATTCTACAGTACACCCTCCCTTTTCCTGGGTCCAAGAAGGAAGGGCTTTATGGGGTCCCTTCTCCTGTGCTGTTGACAGTGGGGAGGCCATGGCAACTCCTTCCCCTCCCCCTCTAAGCACTAAAGCTTCCCTGGGCTTGTGTGTTTGCCAGATGGCTCCTCACTGTGTGTCAGAAGAGAATAGCTATTAAAAATTCACTGAGTTTAATTTTAAAAAAATTTTTTAAAGGTTTCAGCAGGCATTTGCCTACTTCTTAAAGAACCCACCAAACTACATGATTTTAATTGGCCCTAATTAGGAGAAACACTGCCTGGGTCAGAAGGCCTTCTTCACCCTTGGAGATGCTAAAAAGGAGTGGCACAGGGGTGGCCTGAAGGCTGGCTGGCCCTGCCTACTCAGCTAGCCCCTGAGAAGGAGTCCCCGCCCACCCCAGGCTGGCCGCTGAGCCAGCCCTGAAATAGTGTCTCTGGTGCCTGTCATCCCCTGAACCAGACACATCCCCTCCATTCCCTAGCAGTTCCCCAGAGAGCTTCCATCCATCTCTGCACAGATCACCATTGATCCCTAGTGATTCCGGATAACTGCTTTGCTTCTCAGAAGCGCTGCTGCTCTGTGTCAGACTCAGGTCACCGGTGTAATGAGCCTAACAGCCCAACAAGAAACGTAGGCACAGAATCCAAGGAACAGAGAACCAGTGAAGGTCCTCAACTATGCAGGAGGCTTAGAAGAATCTCTGGTCTTCAGGGTCTCTATGGTTCCTTTCAACTCTAATAGTCTCTGTTTTATAATAAGGTCCCTCTCAGCTTTGACATTCTGTATTTTAAGGTCCTCTCAACTCTGACATTCTCTGGTCTAGAGTCCATCCCAGCTGTGTTCTAAGGGCCCTCTCTCCCATCTCTGACATTCTCTGTTCTAGGATCTCTCCCAGCTCTAACAATCTCTGTTCTGGGCTCCCTTTCATCTGTATTCTAAGGTCCCTCTCTCCCAGCTCTGACACTCTGTGTTCTAAGGGTCCTCCCAGCTCTGACATTCTCTGTTCTAGGATCTCTCCCAGCTCTAACAACTTCTGTTCTAAGGACCCTCCTAGCTCTGTTCTAAAGTCCCTTCCTTCTGACTCTGACATTCTGTGTTCTGAGGACCCTCTCAGCTGTGACATTCTATATTCTAAGTCTCCTTTCAGCTCTGACATTCTATATTCTAGAGTCCCTCCCAGGTCTGGCATTGTGTTCTAAGGTTTCAAGTTCTGACACTGACATTCTAAGGCTCCTTCCAGCTGTGACATTCTGTTGCCTATGTTTTGCTCCTTAATAGAACTAGTTGAACATCTATCTACTCAGAGATCTCTGGCAATCAGACTTCCACACATGTCTGAGTCAGCTTCTCAACTTTGCAAAGGCTAATTATAGAAAGACAGAATGTCAAAGCTAGAGGGGGCCTTAGAAAGCATACAATCCACCCCTCCCCCACCTCCCACCCCTTTATAGGTGAAGAAATTTAGGCCTATTGAGGTCATGTGATTTGCCCAAATTTGTGCCTAAACACAGTAAGTAGCAGAGCCAAGATTGAAACCCAGACCTCAGGACTTCGGCTGTACCTGTAGGGCTCCTTCTGCTGCCTGGTAGAATGGAAGTGCCCTGAGGGTAGGAACTGGGACTGTTAAAAAAAAATCTGTGTATCTCCTGTACTTTGGACTTTGTAGGAATTTAATAATCACTAGGTGTGTCAACTGATGAAAAAATTTTTTGGTTCTTTGAGGTGTTTCAAAATCCTGGTCCTTCTTGCTTAATTTTTGCTTTTTCTTTTTCTTTTGCTGAATAAATTAAATGAATGAATAATGTAGAAGTACACTTTATCCATTTTTGATAGGTCCCAGACCAATGAATCCAATCTATAGATTTTCTCCTATCTTACCCTACAGGACAACAAATGTAGCCCATTAAGAAGAACGAGAGAAAATGCAGGACAATTCATATTTATAATCCTTAAAGGCAAACTCAAAAGCAGTAATTTAATTCTTGAGAAGGATGACACAGCCAAGTGAGAAAAGAAGAACCGGACAAGCATGGCCCCAGAAGGACCAACTGTTTTCTCAAAGGTCAGCTCTATCAGCTCCCTTCCTACCCTCGTGAACACAGATTGAGTGGGAAGAAATTCGATTCAATAGGGAGAGTTGGAAGGGGTGGTGACTGACACCCAGGCTCACTGGAGTCTCACTCAGCTGAGTTTCCTAAGGGCCCTTTCCACCCACCCCTCTGCATTGCCCTCCCTGCCACATTCCAGCTCTGACATCCTGGGAGCATCTCTCTGGGAAACAATGCTCTGCATTGTTATTGGGTTCCGGGGGGATTCAGAGCCAGAGTGGAGGGAGAAAAGGAAATTACAGCATCTTGTATCTGTAATGAAGAAAAGTAACACCACCCATGGATATTTTGTTATAAATGACCAAAAAAAATACCCAGGTGGTCCCAAGAGGTTTTAAAACTGCATGATTTTAGTGAGCCTGCCTGGTGCTCAATCTTGCCTGACAGATAGCTTTAACCCTACCCCCACTCCCCACCTTATGGGCACTACCCTCTTTATGACTTAGAGAACAGGATTTGGAGCTGAATGGAACTAGTTCAGCTCCTGGATTTTACAGATGAGGAAAGTGAGTCAAAGAGGATAAATAATTTACATGAATAATAAGTGGGAAAATGAGGATTTGAACCTAGATTTTTTGCCGCCCAATCCAGGGCTCTTTACCTCATTTTTGTTGCTGTTTCTGTTTTACTGTTGCTGTTTGTTTTTATATCATATCTTTCCCCTTTATCTATTCCTCCACCATTGAACTCTGTTGCAGAAAAAGCCCCCAATATTTGAGCCAAGTCACCCCACATAGTTATCACATTACCATGCCTGATATCCTATACTGAATTCCACATCCAGAGTGCCCTACTGAGAGAAGGTGGAACTATGATAGAAGCTGCCCTGCCCCCCATTACATGCCTTCCCTTTGAGAATGGAAAAGATGTATTTTGCTTGATTATGATATTTTCTTTCTTCTCCCCTCCCCCTAATGGGGGTGGGGAGGAAGGGAGGAAAAATCAATTTTGTTCATTGAAAAAATAAAATTGAATTGGCAAAGATGTTTGCAGTTTCTTATCCTTCTCTCTTCTCTGTCTATGACTTTCTCCCCATGCCCTCTTTGCTTTTGTGAATTTCAGACTTGAACATGGGGAAAGGACTCTTTGAAAATACCTTCATTTTTCCTTTAGTCTTCTAAGATCCTGTGATTAACTTCTCTCAAATAGACTTTTTCTCGAAAGGAACTTTATCTCTAATCCATGCTTTTTCTTATTTTTTAAAGGGCAGAAACTTAGGCCTACAGGCGGAAGTGATTTGTCCAAAGTCATAAAAAGCTAATCAGTAGGGGAGGCAGATTATAACTCAGGTCTGACTCCCAAAAAAGGGCTCGTTCCACAACATCAGAGTCACCTAAGGTCAGACATTCCCTCTTTTTCCAGTTCTACCTTTGTGCTGGTGAATTTGGTCCAAGCTAACTCAAGTCATGTCAGCCTGAGCTATCTGGGGGCTCTGGGTACCAAGAGTATCCATGGTCACAGGATTATAAGCTTTAAGGCTAGAAGGAAACTTCTATAGATCCATTTTACACATGAAGAAACTGAGGCCCAGTGAGGTAATATGACTTGCCCCAAATCCTACTGTCATTGAGTGACAAAACTAGAATTGGCCCTCCAGGTCAGATACTTATATGTTCAAATGGATCTGTGGTCTAACTGATGTAGGGGTCCAACAGTTCTGATTTCCTATCTGCCCATGCCATGTGGCTGTTGTTCACATCCTGAATATCTGCCAAAGGGAGTCTATTCAACATACTGGGAGTCTTTTTTGATTTCCTTACATCTTGGAGAAGTACATGGGCTGCCCACCAGTTATTCATTTTTCTTGCTACATAATCAACCCCTTTTTATTTGTTTGTACATTTCTTCAATGACAATCTTTATACTGCTTCTCCTCCTAGTTCCACTCTACTCACTCCTACTACTATGTGCCTTTCCATTGCCCCTGTGTGATACCCATTTCCTTTTTTTAAACAGATTTCATTGATGTGTTTTGTTTTTACATTGCCTATCTTTTCCCTTCATCCTTCCCTCTCTTCCCTCCAAGAAAGCCATCTCTTATTATAAAGAATTTCCTTAAAGAGAAAAAAATCAATCAACAAAGGGGGTAAAAAACCCCTAATGTTCTATGCAATTTTCTATGGACCCTTACCTCTATAAAGGAGCAGGGGGAAATGTTTTTCTTTTTTTTTTATACTTTCTCTTTGGGACCATAATTGTTCTTTATAATTTAGCAACATCTGTTTTCAATTGTTTTGTCATTCTTTCCATTTACATTGTTGTGGTCACTGTGCGGTTTTCCTGGTTCTGTTTAGTTCACTTTGTATCAGTTCAATGATGAATTCATTGTTTGTCTTTCCTTAAAAACAGAGTAACATTCCATTAATTCACCTACCACATATGTTAAGCCATTCCCCAATTAATGTTTCTAGTTCTTTGCCATCATAAAATGTGTGGCTACAAATATTTTGTTACTCATTTTCAATTTTTTGAAGATTCTATTCTTTTTTTTTTTTTTGCTAGGCAATGGTGTTAAGGACTTGCCCAGGGTCACAAGATTCTATTCTATGTCTCATATTCAAACAATAGAAGAATATTGTTTTAAAAGGGTGGGGTCTTTGTTTTATGGAGAAGCTATGTCTTTATATAGACTTGGCAATTTCCTCAGGCCTATTTTCTTATTCCTGTTCAATTCTGGCTCCAATGTGAAGGCCAATACTAACAATCATTCCAGACAAAAAGATTTATTTTTAATTTAAAAAATATTTCACAAAAGTGTGATTTTTCCCCCCTTCCTAAGCCTTAAAGCTCTTTGGGTTCCCAAGTACTTTCTTATGACCAGTCCTTGGAGGCAGCAGTTAGAAGTATTTTCATCCTACTTTATTTATTTATTTATTTGTTCATTCATTCATTCATTCATTCATTCATTCATTCATCCATTCATCCATCCATTTATTTATTTATTTATTTGTTCATTTATTTATTCATCTATCTATCTATCTATCTATCTATCTATCTATCTATCTATCTATCTATTTTTAGGCAATTGGGGTTAAGTAACTTGCCCAGGGTCACACAGCTAGTAAGTGCCAAGTGTTTGGTCTGAGGCTGGATTTGAACTCAGGTCCTCCTGACTTCAGGGCCAGGGCTCTATCCAGCTCTATCTAGCTGCCCCATTATCCTGCTTTAAAGATAAAAACTGAGGCTCATATGGGGAATACAAGCAAAAGTTCTTTATGAAATGATACAAAATGGAAACAAAGCAGAACCAGTAAAATAAACCATACACTAACTACTGCTATATAAAAGGAAAAGTGAATGAGAACGAAGGCATACATAGTTTTTTTTGTGTGTCTATATATGTATATATAGACATACACATATATACAAACATACATATATATACACATACATAAATACACACAAATATTTACATGCACACACACACATATATGTATATATATGTATGTATATACACACATGAACATATTCACCTAATGAAAACTCAGAGGAAGTGACTAAACAATTAAGATGATTATGCATTGAAATGAACCTTTTTAAAAGTAAGCACTTACTAGGGTAGATTGATGTTCAATATTAAGTTTTTAATATGACATTTAATTTTTAAAAGGAAACAGATACTCAGAGAGGATGAGGGATTTGTCCAAGTTCAGATAGGTTAGGAAGAGAGCTAGGATTTGAACCCAGGTTTCCTGAGTCCAGGCCTACTATATTACAAGAAACACAACACACATCCTTTGCCTGAGCTCACATTCAGTATCTATAAACAAAGGGCAGAACCTTGAACTTAGGACAACTCTACTGACCCATGAATCCGCTGTTTCCAGAATTCTTCGAAAACTCCACGACCCCAGGAGATACTCTTGCTGAACTGGAGGGAGTCATGCAGAGGAACTCCTCTGGAGACCAGTGGAATCAGGAAACCAGGCCTGACAGGGCATTCATTTGCATATTAGTTTCCAGGCTGTTCTGCTGTAATAGTTGAGAATTAGTGGTCTATAAGCCCTGAGGACCACAGGGGAGGGGGGAGGGAAAAAAACCCAGAACAAAACAAAAACCAGGCAAGTCAGGGTAACCTCCCTACCATATGCTCCCATGCCTACATTGATCTCTTCTTCCTCTGAATTCCTATACACTCACTTATCAGCACCAGCCTTGGATCGTAATGTGATGTAGTAGAAAGGGCATTTTTATTCACTCATTCAGTAAGCATTTATTAAGCACTGACTATGTGCCAGTAAGCACAGGGGGAATAAAAAGAGGCAAAAGACGGTCCCTTCCCTCAAGGAGCTCACAATCTAAATGGGGAGACAACATGCAAACAAATAGGAACAAAAGAAGCTATGTACAGGATAACTAGGAAATAATTAAAAGAAAGAAAGCACTGGAATTAAAAGGGGCTAGGAAAGGCTTGGAACAGCCAGGGGGCACAGTGGATAGAATGCCAATCCTGAAGCCAGGAAGACTCATTATCCAGAGTTCAAATCTGGCCTCAGACACTGACTAGCTGTGTGACCTAGGCAAGTCACTGAACCCTGTTTGCCTCAGTTTCCTCATCTGTAAAATGAACTGGAGAAAGAAATAGCAAATAACAAACCATTCTAGTATCTTTGTCAAGAAAACCCTATATGTGGTCACAATAAGTTGGACACAACTGAAAAACGGTTCAACGACAACAAAGCAAAGGCTTCCTATAGAAGGTGGGATTTTAATTGAAACTTAAAGGAAGCTTGTAATCCAATCCAAAAAACATTTATGAAACTCCTGCAATGTACTAAGCACTGGCCTAGGTCCTGGGGAACACAGGGCAAACAGTCCCTTCCCACAAGGAGCTTACATTCTCCTGGGGAGAGAGAATAACAGGTACATAGGTGATTACATACACAATAATCTGTGGGGGAGGTGGGGAAAGCACTAAATCCCCATTAGATTGTAAGGGAGTGGGAGGCAATGGTTTGGGAGTCCAAGAACCCAAGTTTAAATACTGCTTCTGACCTTTACTATCTGTTGCCTCAGTGTCCTGGATTATAAAAAGAGGAGATTGTGAGGTCCTTGATTGCAGGGACTGTTTTTTGCCTTTCTTGGTATCACAGTGGCATAGCATGTGGTATACCATAGGTGCTTAATACATGCTTATTTTAGACTGACTGGCCTAAAAGATCCTTGAGGTCTTTCAGTTCTAGATCTGTGATCCTAGGAAAACTCAATGAGAGCAGAAACTGTGCCCTTCTTTCATCTTTGTATTTCGGAGCATGGTGCTCTGCACACAGTAGGTGCTTAACAGCCCTAGAAGAGCTTATTACCCCAGCCCTTATCTGGATTTTAGTTTCTTCAGCTTGAACATGAGGGGGTTGGACTGTGTGATTTCTAAGCCCTCTGTTCCTCTTTTTGTTTGGTATGCCTTAATTTCCCCAAATAGACACAGAATTCTTTGAGGTCAGGGACCCTGCCCTATACTTCCGTATCTCACAAATAACATTTCCACAGCCATTCATGGTTGACAAACATTTTCTTCACAACATCCCAGGAGGGTCAAGAACACAGAGGCTCCCCATTGCCTCCAGGATCAAATACAAAATATTATGTTTGGCTTTCAAAGCCCTTCATAAGTTGCTCCTCCTCCTACCTTTCCGTTCTTCTTACACCTCACTCCCCACTACTTCCTCTTTGATCCAGTGACCCCGGCCTCCTGGCTGTTCCAAGAATAAGACGTTCCATCTCTCACCTCCGGGTATTTTCTCTGGCTGTCCTCCATGCCTGGAGCACTCTCCCTCCTCCTCTCTGCCCTCTGGCTTCTCTGACTTTAAGTCTCAACTCAAATCCCACCTTCTATAGGAAGCCTTTCCCAACCCCTCTTAATTCTGGTTCTTTCCCTCTCTTAATTATTTCCTATTTATCCGGTATATAGCTTGTTTTCATGTCACCTCCCCATTAGATTATAAGCTCCTTGAAGGCAGGGACTATCTTTTGCCTATTTTTGTATCTCTAGTACTTAGCACTGTGCCTGGTGTATAGGAAGAGCCTAATAAGTGTGCATTGATTGATTGTCCCAATTTTGCAGATGAAGAAACTGAGGCTCTGAGAAATTAAATGCCTATGGAAATATGTATAATTAATAAGTACCTGCAGGTAGGTTCTTTTTTTTAAAGCTGGGTCTCCTAACTTCACATCAAGGACTTTTGCCATGCTGTCTCTTGGGCTTCTTAACAGTACCAGGCAGCTAGCAGGTGCTTAGGGAATATCAGCTGAATAATATTAATGAAGGTGGGAAATGTTCACTTCACCTTTCTGATCACGCTTTTCTTCATGTACATCCAATCTCCTACAGGTTTGAGGGCTATTTTTCTGTGACTTTCAGGTATAAAGAATTATGGCAACAGGCTCCCTGAATACAATTTGGCAAACATTTTTCGAGTGCCTGCTGTTTGCCCATGGGGGAGGGGGGAGACAAACTTTATATAAACCATTACCCCTTTACATAGTTCTTGGCACATAGTAAGTGCTTAATAAATGATTGATGAGTGACTTTGGAAAATGATGATGATGATGACGATGTATTTCTATATCCCTTCAAGGTTTGCAAAGTGCTTTATAAATATTGTCTTATTAGATCCTTGCCATAACCCTTGGAAAGAGGTGCTATTATTATCTCTATTTTTTACATATGAGGAAACTGAGGCAGATAGAGGTTAAGTGACTTGCCTAGGGTCACACAGCTAGTCAGCATCTGAGTTTGGACTTAACTCAGGAGTTCCTGACTCTAAGTCCAAAGCCGTATCTACAGCACCATCTAGCTGCTTGAAAAGACATAGATCACTGCCCCTCAGGTAGCTTACACTCTAACAGCTAAGGCAGCTGGCAACATTACATGAGTACAACAGAACGTTACCAAACAAGAGTCTACATGAAGGCCTAGGGCAAAGGTCATTACCGACCTGGGCAGTGGGAATCAGGAGGAGATGCTCTTTTGGGTGGAGGCCAGAGAGTTGGCCTTGGAACCCCAAAGAGCGGGCTTTGCGTTCTGCCATGGGCAAGTGCTTTGCATGAAACAGATGCTATTATCATCCTCCTTTTAATCTGGATCAGATCAGAAGACTACAGATTTAGAGCTGGAAGAGATCTTACAGATCACCTGTGTGAACCTCATTTTACAGAGGAGGAAATTAGGGCTCAGAAAAGCTAGGGGTTGTGCCCAGGGTCACATAGCTAGTGATTGCCTGAGACAGGATTTGAGCCTAGGTCTTCTGAATCTCAAATTCCCCTCTCCATGCTCTGTGCCATAATGCTGAACCAGTTACCCATAAGGGCAGGGATGGTCTTTTGCTTTTCTTTGTATCTGGAGCACGTCGCATAGTAGGTACATCATCATCGTCATCATAACTAGCATTTATAGAGAGCCTGCTATGTGCCAGAGCCTATGCTAAGCATTTCACAAATATCATCTCATTTGATCATAACTACCCTGGGAGGTGGGTGCTATTATTATCCCCATTTTACAGTTTAGGAAACTGGGGCAAACTGAGGCTAAAGTGATTTGCCCAAGGTCAAAGAGCTAGTAAATATCTGAGGCTAGATTTGAACTTGGGCCGTCCTGTCTTCAGGTCTAGTGCTTGCCCTACCTCCCAGGGTTGTTGTGAGGATCAAATGAGATAATAATTGCAAAGTGCTTAGAACAGTGCCTGGCACATAGGAGGTGCTACATGAATGTTAGTTATCATCATCATCATCATCATCAATCACTCTCTCCCTGTACGAGTTTGTAGCAGCCTTAAGGTTCTGTTTCAGATCACTGAGATTCTCTGACTCCAGCACCTTGGCTGCCCCAAGCATTTGGACCCCCACAATGCAAGGCAGATCTTGCCAGAGTGGGTTCCAGATTTGCATCAGCAGCTCTGGTGAGGGAAGGAAAAGAGGACCTGGAGACATAACACAAGTAATACCCAGAGCCAATCAGTGGCCAGTCAGGGGGGACTAACTAACCATGGAACTTTTCACCCACCCATGTTCTAAATCCCAATAGTTTTGTACCCCTAGAGGCACTAATGTGGAGCTGGGTTCTAAGAGGCAGCATAGGTTCAAATTCTATTTTGGACCTTTACTAGATATGTAACCCCAGATAAATCACTTCATCTCCCTCCCTTTAATTTTATCTTCTGTCAAGTGAAAAAAATCATCTAGGGATAATGATCTCATGGGGTTTGTCATCAGGACCCAATGAGATGATATATATATAGTGATTAGCAAACCTTAAAATATTATATGATTCTCCATGATTATGATTAGATCTTAGGATCTGTTGCTGTTTCTTCATCCAGGTAGGCACTCTTTCCAATGTGGCTTGAGTATGCAATGGAGGAAGGGAGCATGCTTATTGGATCTGTCCTTCCTAATGGGTTATACAGAGCATGCATGGAAAATCCCTTTGAAGTTACAGGTGAACATATGAGTCTGGAAACCTGTTTCTAGCCACGTGTGACTGAGGGGCTGGTACTAAATGATGACAAGAAGTCACCTAATTGACCTGGAAGAACCAAGGGCTCTGAAGGAGCTAGGTTGGAAATGAATGTGCATACCAAAGGGGGTGACCAATCCAACCTTCCAGTTCTTTGAGTGAGGAAGGCTGTTCTGAGCTTCCAGATGGGAGGAAGGACAGCTGTCTTATCTCCTGTTCAGCTGCCACGTGGCCAAGAATACATGGTGCCTTTCTTTCTTTTTTGTTTATTCTCTGATACCCAAGTTGGGAGTCACCTAAGTGACTCAGTGATTTTGGAAGAATATTTGCCTAAATCTCCAAGATGGGAGTTACCTAAGTGACTCAGTGATTTTGGAAGATCCAGAGGTCCCATTAGAGATCCTGCTGATGACCAGGGCTAGTATCAATAATCACTGGAATGGTTGTGCCTATAGAAGGGTGTTGAAAGAC